TGAATATTATAAAATTAGTCCAGTGAAACTTGTGATAATTTTGGATAAGGGAAACACAAGTGACTGCAACTTTTAGAAGGTCATACTATCTTATTTATTTCAATAAAGAATAATGTGATATCAGTTCATTTTATGCAGACTCTGGTAGGTTCTGTCCTAACTTTTCAAGTTCCTTTAATTCCAGAAGAAAACAACTTCAGATTAAATTTAACCGATGTATATCATCCTTAACCTTCATCCAGGTTTCTCAAAAACAAACCCCAGAAGATCAAAGCCTAAGTGCACACTAATCCTTAAATTTCAGTTAGTCCCACTACTAGAACAGTGGAGTAGAAGGCATAAATGAGTTAGTCGCACTACTGGAACATCAATTCAATAACAGGATATTTTGAAGAGCTTTTCAACTTCTCTTAATTACCTCTTCAATTTTGAGCTGAAGGCTTTAAACCCTTCGCTAGCACACCAAAGTTCTTGGTGCAGAAGCTGTTTCGGGACTTCTTTCATAAGATCCAGTAGAACTTTCCGCTTTACTTCATGAGGCCAATCTCTTCGTGAAATAACCCTCTTTATGCCTTTCTCTTTCAATGCTGGTATAATTTTACCATAGAACATGTCACTTGGTCGGGGAACAGGAGGAGGAGCTGAATTGATCGTATTACCAGCACCTGAGGCTGGGAGTTGTGAAAGCTGGACACGATTTTGCCAAGACTTAAAGATGCTATATATACTTATCACATTATCCACCCATTGGATGAGACCAGCCCGACCACTAATTGGAGTCACAGAATAATAGCGAATGCCAAGTGAATGACAATGAGTTTCAGGAGATGTACGCAAAAAACTGTTTATAGCTTGCAGCAGCTGCATTATTCTTGCATCAAGGCGCAGATCCTCCCGCCCTTTCAAGAGATAAGTGTATTTTTTCCCATCTGAACCCAGTATAACAAGCTTCTTAGGTTTTGTTTTGGTTGATAAAATTGTCACCTGATCCAAGAAAGATGAAATTGTGACAATTCCCTGAAGAGTGGCAGCAAGACCCCCTTCGGATTCAGATAAGGAAACTTGCTTCTCCAGACCAGGCATTGGAACATCTGAAGATGATAATAGAGCAAGCTGTGGAGCAACTTCTCCTAAAGATATTGATGACTTTCTCTGATAAGATGCCAGGGATGCAGCAATGTTATCAAATGGGCGCCATACATCACCAAGTGCAGCAGCATACATAGGAGGGGTCTTAAAGGCCAGGATTGCGGATTTCAATTGTTCTTCATACTCTTGATGGAACCACATTTCATGAGGTGTTTCTGGTTTTCGAGAAGTTGAAGCTAGACGACGCTCTAAAGCCACAACAATGGGAGCCATCATGGCTGAATATTTGGCAGCACTTATCTTGTTCTTTTCAACCTGACTAAGAGTGGCATTCTCGGCAACCCGTGCCGCCTCCTCTTTTAGCACATTTATACGCCTCATTACATCTGAAAGAACATTTTGTGTAGATAATTCATAAGCCGTTAGCTCAAAACAAAGTAAATTAGCAAGGTAGCAAATGAAAAGAAACAGCAACCATATATTATAGTAGCAAGAAAAGCACTGGAAGTCATTGGCTTGCAACAATTTTTGTCGCAAGTTTTAAAGAGGTAGACTAATAACAAAAAATTTCCAAAACAAACTGCCATGTTAAACACACTGACCAATATTCAAGCATAGCAATATTTCATTACCATGTGATAGTCATGTCATAAGAAGTCAATGACATGGCTGCCACATGAATTAATATACGCCACTTAAAATCCTACCAATTTTTAAAAGATCCAAAAGTGACCTGTTGGCCACTTAAAATCCTACCAATTTTTAAAAGATCCAAAAGTGACCTGTTGAAGACAATCTAATCCAGCTACTCTCTCCGCCTCTCAACCATACTTGTGCAAATATGCCCCAATTAATTTTTTCTCGAACTCTGTACATTTAATCCACGTGGCAGTCGTGTCATTGATTTTTTATGAATAGCAGCTATTTAGTGATGACTTATCTAATGATTTATCTATTTTAATTGATAAATTAACTAATGACCAATGTTAAAAAAAATAAAAGTCAGGAGCTTAATTGCAATAATTGAGAAGTTAGGAACCAAAGTGAAAAAAAGTGGAGAGTCAAGGACACTTTTGCAATCAGGCAGTTAAAAAATACTAAAATGCTAATGACAGAACAAGCTGCTGTTTTATTTTCATTAAAGCCCACATCAGATATTCATAGGAATAGTTACGATCGGAAAAGAGAGTAGGTACGTCAGGGGAGAACTAGCTGTCCTCCAAATATAAAGAAAAAAGGAAACAAAAGAGAAGAGAAAGTGGGTGCACTTGACAGACAATAGTCAGCCAATCACTATATAAATTTTGAATTTGTTCTAACCATAGCCTCAAGAAGATTTCAAAATCCAAGTTTAGGGTAAGTGGAGAGGCCCAGGCAGACAGCTGCTTGAGTCTTTGCTGGCATTCATCTGACATTTTTGGTTTTTCACAATTTAACTAATTCTCGGACTTTATTGCTATAAAGTGACGCCCAAAAATGCAAGTTGCAGTGGGATTTAAATTTTTCCTAACTAAGCTCTGGATTGTCTGTTTTTAATTTCAAGATCTAGAGCTCGACATCCCCTTCTAGGTAGAAGAAAGCAAGCCTGACTATTTTCACTTTGGAATTTTTTTATGTCAAAAAAGAATGTGTATACCCATTCAGCCATCAACGGATCTAGGTTTCCGTCAAATCTTGGAAAGTCAAGTTTTGAATACCTGGGGTCTATTCTACTACCACCATTGCCCTCTGTAGCACAATAGGTTGCTTGTAGCAATGTCAAAGAGCTTGCCTAATCCATGCTGGCACTATTAGTGGGAGAGATTGTTTGGTAAATCCTCGATATTGATGATGAGTTGCCCCGTCATTTATCAAAAGTGTGCCTGATCCTACTCCCTTAGGTGCAATCACATATGCGGTCCTCCTAGTAAAGCTTAAGGAAGGAATCAAAGTTCTAATGAAGATCTGAAGGGTTGCCATGAACCCCTCTTTTGTACCAGAATATTAGGTTCCCTATGAAGGGAAAAATCTTCCAGCAAGCGATGTATAGTCATTACAGAGCCTATGGCTGGGCCTGTTTGAGAGAACCTACAATGTCTAAGGGATAATTACTAACATCTTGACCAACTCCTCACTGTAGAGTTCTAATATAACTTAAAAATTAGAAGATTACTCTATAGGGAATTCTAATGTGAATTCCTCTGGTACATCTGACTAAAATCCTAACGGAAGACAGAAATCAACCAGTCCTCTGTGGTTTGTGGCTTTTCGTCCAACTTGAACTTCTTGTGGGTCCCTGGGGATAGACTTAACTGGTAAACCAATCTTGAGTTAAGCAAATAACAGAAAGTACAATATACTATCTAACAGACTGTAGGCTATTGCCAAACAGTTAAACTAGGATAAAGTTCACTACTATTTATACATCTCTGATCAGGAAAAAATATATGGAATAAAATGAATCAAGACAATAGTCTCATAGTAAGCTGAGTTTTACCCATGTGAAGATCTTGAAGTGTGCTGAGCCATAGTTCCTCCCAAAGGACAGTTACATTTTCAAGCTCATTTATCATCAGCTGTACATCCTGAATTAATCTTGGGTAAAGTCCTCTCTGCAAATGATAGACTAACGCCTAAGCCAACTCATCGGTCAATTTAACCAAGCAACTTACTGTTCAAATTAACTTTCAGGAAAATTAAGTCGCTTCGCAAAAAATTTACCAACAATAAGCTAAGATGATAATCAAAGACAATATATACAAGAACAGAATTCTTTATGCATCATATGGTGCAGATGACTGACCTACGCTAAAACTACCATCTCATCTATGTCTCTAAATATGGAATCATTCGATCTTAATTCATAACATAATTCTCAACTTCCAGTTAATTAACCACGAGTATTAACAACAGTAAGAGGTCTACTGAGCATTTGCAGCATTACACAACAACAGATTTAAGCTCCTTGATGTCAAGGCTTACAAATGATGTAAATGTAGGATCAAACACATCAATTTTGTTAAAGTGTGTAATACAAACATATTCCAGGACAAGTGGAATTCTTAAGGACTCCAGTACAGCAGTGTTGGAGCAAAACTGTTAGAAATGCAAAACAACAAATGTATTATAATATCTCTTCAGTATATAAATATGCAAAATAGAACCTCAGCCATGAAACTAATAATTCCTGCAACAGAAACACATTTACAACCCAAC